CCAGTTTCTGTGCTGCACTGTGTCAGCCAAAGGCTGGATAAACACAGAGGAACATCGCGGGTGTTTGTACAGGGTCTGGCACGTAAGCCCCTCATATCCCCAGAGATATGAACCTCTGACAAGGGCTCCTTGCTGCTACAACACTACAAATATAGTAACAGCGACATGGAAGGCTAACCCAGGGAGCTGTTCAGCAAGAATAGCTCAGGAAATAGTAACATCTGCAGTAAGGCATAAAAAGAAATTCTTACTGTCTCTCAGTAGCTGGGTTTAGACCTGAAGACATGTCCAAAGGCCACCAAAAATTATTGCCAGTGTGGCATCCAGAGCACTTGTGTTATGTATGAACAGCATTTTATTTCTCTAACAAGACTGGCTGTTGCCCTGTGCACCAGGAGAAGGAAGCCTTTAGGAGAAATGTGCTTAACAAGGCCCAGCTTCTCAGAAGCAAAGGGCTTCACTCAGCTCTACTGTAATTTCAAGGGAATTAAATGAGATTCAAGACAGATGAATTTCAACCAGCCAGCTGCCTCAACATAAACAGTCATTTCTTTCTTCCAGTGGGCCAGATAGGTAGCCAGAGTACCTCACCCTTCTGGCAGTTGTACACGATAAAAGTAGAAGTACAACATATTCTGAGGCTGTACTGCAACCCTGTAAACCTTTGTGCAGTGATAATAATGCATTTATGTAATTATATTACATTTTCCTCCATTCCAGAAAGCTCCAGGTTTAAAGCACATCGAGTTCACTATGATGCAAAGCTAGCAGCTTAAAAGTTGCAGCTTATTTTTGTGTTACATTTTCACAAAGCAAGGCTGACGCTATCTATTCCCCTGATAATTCTTACTGGGGGCATATTTGTAAATGATGGAAAAATGACCACACCAACATGCAAATGGGAACGGTCAGCTATCAGTATAACTTGACGTGGTGTCTGTAGACACCACAGCACTGAGAACAGCAGCTGTTATCAAGGCAAACAGCTGAAATAAAAGAGGAAGAAAGGCGGCTTGCAAATAACCACCTTTGCTGGTCCAAATGGCTCTTAATACTCTTTGTGCAAAGACACACTGTTGTTAACATCTGCTTGAAGTTAATCTGAAGGGTTGTTTGCAAATAGCAAAGCTGGTAAGCACCTGCTGCTTTAGGATAGATGAACTTTTGTGGGCATGTAACATGCTATTTTATTCCCAGCAGCTCTCACAAACACCACCCTATACAGAACAGAAATGAATGGACTTTGTGAAGGGCACTTTAGTTGAAATTGGATAGGACTATATACAAGTATTACCAGATACCAGAACAGTTTAAGAGTCTGGTTCAAAAATATTCTAGAGCCTGAGGGTCTAAGTGGCCTTAGAAGGGTGGCAAAAGAAAGCAAACTAATTGCCAGTGACTTAGGTTGGTAATGTGAAGGTTTATGCATTAATAGAGGTCAAAACTAATAAAAAATAAAGCTCCTGGAACCACTTCACTAGGCTGATTTTGAAGCTGCCCTTTCCATCAGCATGTCTGAGTGCAGCATAGGCCCCATCTTCCTTGCATTCAGGGAACGCAAGAAGTGAAACCTGTTTTCTGCATTTCCAGTTCACCACTGTGCTTTCTGACCCCTTTTTCGAATTTTCCTGAGCCACCCTTCCCACAAAGAATTTCTCCTCACTTGAATGGCTGATTTCAGTTAGGTAAATCAAAATGGCAAAGTAGACAAAAGCCAGAGTAAGACTGAACCCCTGTTTACAGGAAGTCTCTGTACATCTCATTAGTGAGTCTTGTCTGTCTTTTCCATGCTGTTCTATTTCACTGGGGGATAGTCCTACTGGATATGTCCATGCTGTAAGATGGTAGATCTACAGTGGAGCAGTTAGCCCCTCCCTGTACTTCGGGGGCCTTTTTTCCTTTGATTTGTCCTTCAGTTTTTCCTGGCCTTATTTATGATTGAAATTGTTTGCTGTTTCCAGAATGGCCATATATGTTCAGGCATAATTGAAAGTATCATGATGCAGTATCTGTTACCTTGTGTAGCTGTAACTCAGGTCATAAACTAGACAAGAATTTGTCATGCGGAAGAAAAGTTAACAGCCAAGGTTCAGACCATCTCTCATTTCTGTGACTGCACAAAATTAAGAGAAAAAGTGGGAAGGGTGACTGAACCTCTGGTGTCTTCCAAGACCTTGTGACGACTTTTGTGTTCTTAAATAGCTCTAACTCAAAATCTTTTGAGCTCAGTGGACATAGCCACTGACTCTGGTGGAGGGACCAGGCTTGTGAAGAAAAGAGGAGGCAGATGGGCAGAATGAATGCAATTAATGACTTTTTTCCTTACCCTTGAAACCCACTTAAAGGACTAGAATGTCTTCGCTCCTCAGGTCAAGCATTGAGATTTTTGACTAGACATGTACTGCTCTAGAAGAGAAAGATGCTCCTAGTTTCCCAGGCCCTTTCCTACCTCTTTCTCTTTCTTGAAAAGGAAATATGACATTCTTCAGTCATACAAAGCCACATCCAAACTTAATTGTTGTATTTAAAAACCTTCCTTTTGTCTGTACTTTCACAAGATAGTTCTTTTAGAGTTCTGGGAGAGAGATTATCCACTTCCACAGATAAATCCCTCCGAGTTTTACTTCCATCTCAGTTACATGGATATTTCCATACTTTAGTTGCCATTTGGGAAAATACCTTTGAGGTACTACTCAGCAGCATCATTTGAGCATGATCTGTGATGACCTTCAGCTTGACACTTTAAGCAAAGAGACTGGCAGAGTGACCCACCTCTCTGTGTTGTATGCCAGATACCCAGATAACTTCTACATCTCTTCTCTAATGCATCTTTGCAGCCTTTGCACAATTTAGTTGGTGTTAATTCCAAATGAACATGTGAGTCTTATACACACAAGTTTCCAGCTGGAAAGTCACAGCACTGTATTTATGCAGGTGGAAGAAGGTGTGTTTGAGAAATCAGATGTCAATCTGGAATTTGGGAAAGCAGATTTTTATCTCAGACTGAACATTATTAACCACTTCCACTACTGCTATTAATCTCCTCCCATAAAGCATACATAATTCATAACTGCATGTTCACAATGTGAATGGTGAGTGCCATTTCTCGGTGTCTGAGTATTTTAAAAAGCCCAGCAAATGCAATGTTCATAATTCTGGATAACCAGGACATAGTGGATTCAGTTGCTATGGTTGCAGGCAACAGATAGGGAAGATCTGTATTGCACCTCAGGCAGAACAACTGATTGTGCTACTAAATCCACTTGCATTCTTTTTTTTTAATTATAATAATTCACAGTTGTGCTGACTCTGCTGCAGGTGACATTACTGGCATTAGCAGAGGCAAGGAGGGAGACAGGCACTGTCAAATGAGGGCCCAGTGAAGGAGCTGTCCCCAGCCTAAAACAATAACCTCTAACTATGAAGTATGTCAGCAGAAACACTCTGAGTTAAATGTATCCATGCAACAATGGAATGTCTCTAAAAGCAGCCCACATCAATTCCAGTATATCTTGACAATAAATGATCATTGATTCCAAAAGGAGATTCTTCTCATTCATTGACATTTGATCAAAAAGATTTAATAGCATAGAAGAAAGCTTAAGTGGTCTTGGATCCTTTTTTTTTCTTTTAAAATATGTCTGAAGAGTAAATAAAAAAAGAGCATGTGCACCTCAGCCCCTTTTCCATTATCAGTTTGGGATTGCAGTCCAGAACAAGTTCACTTTTTTAAAAATAGCTGCAGTTTTCACTCACGTGAGATTCATGAACCAGGTGGATACTCTGCTGTTTCAGTTTAGTGGAAGGCGGAAGGAGTGATATCATAAATGGTTAAAAATATCCCCTGAGGCCAGATAAGCAGTATCTATTTCCTGTATTGATTACCAGGGATGCCCTTTTAACAACCTGTGTCTCTCAACAAAGGTAGCCAGTTAGAGGTGCTGTTACTCTGTAAGTCACTGCACTTTTCCCATTGTATCTGCCCACCTTATAAATACGTGCTGGTGCAATGCTCAATGTCTGGGTAGCTAAGTTCATCAGAGCCAATCTAATTTTCTCAATGATTCTTTTAAAACAGTCTCTGCTCTGCTGCAGAGAGGTGGGATCAGAGTGACACTCAGTGGCAAGACAGAAAAAGTGATTCTCAGGTTCTGTCTAACATCTATTATTAGGATGCATAAAATTTTAAACAGATCACTATTAGTATATTCTGTCTGTTTGGTAATAATCTATGTAAGCACTATAATTCAGACCAAAGCATGTATTTTTGAATATGCAAACTGAAAGATTGTATTACTTACTTTGCCAATGCCCCCCCCTTCGCTCATAGCTTGTGTGCTGTGATCTCCTGAACGGATTAAAAAAAAAAGAAAATATGAGAAATTGAACTAAAAGCCCAAGTACTGAATTTCAGAATCAAGCGACTTGAGTCACCATAGTTTTACATTCGGTGGTATTTGAATCTTTGCAGATGACTTGAACAGTCCAAAGAATAACATTTTGCATCTTGCATACAATTTATCATGTTCCATGTGTATAACTGACAGTTCATCACCCTCCTAGATAGTTGTGTTAGATCAAAACATTTTCCGTATGTTCCCGAATGCACACCAACCTGTGGTTAACTGAATTTGGTATCTGAAAAAAAAAGAGACATTTTCCCTTTTATGTAAGTGAATGCTGGAATAAATTCTGGAGTCTTTACTGTTAAAGAGTTTTTTATCGGGGTCGACAAGCATTTGAGACAAATATTTTAGGTGGAGTAGTTCTGCAGTAAGGTAGCAGTGTGGACCATCAGTCTTTCCAGCCCTGCCTGCTCTGGTGCAGGGAAAGATTCATAGTATCGTGTTCAATTATGGGGTCAGAAATTCTTCTGAGCCTGTGGCTGCCTAGCGTCACTCAAACTCGCAGCATACAAGGATGTTAGCGAATAAGAGTCATCGTGATACAATGTTCCTTGACACACTGTGTGTAAAATAATTTCCATCTGTCTCCAACAGGGTCCTGTTGCATCGCCCATGTCTATGCGATCTGTTCTGACGAGTGGGTCATGCCTTTCACCACCACCACCCCCGCCGCCACCGCCTGGACCACCCCCCGTCTTCGAGACAGAGACTGCCAAGGATGAAGGAACTGCATCTCGCTCAGCCCTGTTTGCACAGCTGAACCAGGGAGAGGCAATTACCAAAGGTCAGGAGAAATCAAATTTTGATCCATGACTCAAACTACATCCAGAGCTCTTATATCTATTAACCTAACTTCCACTGCATTTATAAGTTACATTCAGGGAACTCAGAACTTTTTTGCAGTGAGTCTGATGGGTAAGACTGCATACCAAAACCTCTCTTAGAAGCCACAGCACCCGAATAAATTCATCATACCTGAAATTCGCACCATATATTTAGCGGTGTCCTTTCAATTTTAAGGCAGCCAAGCTGGACATCTTCAATCCCTAGCAGCTGGTGAACACCTTAAGTTGCAATTGCAATAAAGGTTTATCCCACTTTCTGATTCACATCGAGTGTACCAACCTGTGTCATAATGTGTTACATGTTAGGTGAGAAGGTATGGCTCACAGAGCAGTGTAGAGTGCAATAATAAAGCTTTTTGTATAATACAGGCAGCTGTAATTAAAGTGAATGTCTGTGAGTTTAAATGCATACTATTGATATGTCTGCCTTTAATGCTGCTGGGATAGGTCAAAGATTGTCATAAATTAGAAAAAGAAACTCAGTTTTATGGATGGAAAAACATGATGCAACAAGCTCTCAGAGCTTGCTGCAAATGGAAGGATGAGAAGACACTGTGACATTTCCCAGTAAAGATACTAAGATAGCCCATCCACAGTAGAAGTTTTATATGAACTGCTAAAAATATGTACGCAGTTACACTTTAGGTTGTTACCCAGCTCAACCTCGAGGAAGGAAAAAATAGACATTCACAGAATAATTCAACACAATTATAAATTAACCTTTCCTGCCTAAATATGAACTCCGTTAGGTCTGGAAAACAAACTCTCTTTCATAAACAACCTTTCTTTTTTTTTTAGGGCTTCGACATGTCTCTGATGACCAGAAGACTCACAAGAACCCCAGCCTACGTGCCCAAGGTCCATCTGTGCGTTCTCCAACAAAAAGCCATACTCCAAGTCCCACCTCTCCCAAGAATTCCCCACAGCAGAGCCATGCCCCTGTCTTGGAGCTAGAGGGAAAGAAGTGGAGAGTGGTGAGTTCCAGTCACAACTCTGAATTGCACCTTGCACATTGCAAACCAGGTTGAGCACTGAAACGTCTTGCAAAAGGCTGTCCATGACTGAGGCACAACAAATCAAAGTTGCAACTAAAATGGACTGTCTCGCATTTCTCCACCTTTCTACAGTTTAACTCTTACTGTTCTGTAGCATCTTAGGTTAATTCCATTGTTTCTGAGAATGACTTATTAATTCATCTCACTGGAGAATGTCATAAACAGCACATAAACTCCTTACAAAATCAGACAATGCCCCAGAAATAAGTCCAGTGGAGAACTCCAATTAAAATCCCTTCTTGCAGGCCATTCATGCAAGTGAGAGAACACAACGTTATCACAGACCACTTTCTCCATCTATCTTAGCCAATGGAATTACACATTTCTATTTCATTGCCTGTTCCATATAAGCATGTCTCCCATGCTTAGAAGTAGACAAGTGTTTTCCTTTTGCTCAACCTACAGATGGAAAAGAGAGATTTTGTTTAAAGTTAGGGTGCTAATTTATGTAGGCATATACCGAAGAATCTATGAATGAAAATTGATGTGACTGTGTTGGTTAAGAGAGGGAGGAAACAGTATGCAGTTTAGTCATGCAGAAGGTTATATACACAGTCATTACTGTGGAATTGAGTTTGCATAAGGTTCAGTCACTGTTTGCCTGTGTTATGTTGCCTTATGGTTCTAGTACGTGGAACTTTCTTCTGGACTTCGAGCCTTTCCTGGACATCCATGGAGTGTAACTGTCCTTTCATGTTTCATAACAAAAGGAAATTTCTTCACCTATTACTCCTTTATTGTATATGGTAATGCCTGTATTTGTTCGTATTACACTGCATCGAACATTATATAACATTTGGGGAAGATAAACTTGCTCTGTGCTTCAAGGTGATGCTCTAAATCAGATGGGAGCCAAACAACAGCTTTGTGAGTGTCTTTATAAACTGTTACGAACATAATGTCTTCACTACAAAATTAATGGGTTTTGTCATGGTCTCTGCTAAGTTCTTCAGTTCTGCAGCTTTAAAATACACGTGTCGTCCAAGGGTGAATTAGGTGAGGTATCCAATCCACAGGAAGATTAGGTTTTTAAGCCACAGGAAGGATATTGCTCTGTGGTAACTGAAGATGCAATGACTCGAGGATAAGTTGTACTAAACTCTGTCTGACTGTTAGCTAGTTAAAGACAACCAATTAAATAAACTTTCTTTTGAAACAGGAATATCAAGAGGATAAGAATGACCTGGTCATTAACAACACTGAGCTCAAGCAAGTGGCCTACATTTTTAAGTGCAACAAATCTACACTTCAGATAAAAGGAAAAATCAACTCAATCACTATTGGTGAGTGGATAATTGTGGATAGTGGAAATACTATTGAAGAGATGGGCTTTAAATGCCAATCTTGAAAAGAATTACTTAGATGATTAATAATGCATCTGAATCATTCCATTCACTTTAATGGACTGATTACGCTAGTAAAGTCACTCAGCTATGCAGTGCAAGACAGGAATTACATAGCTAATGTAGCAGGTGTGCATAGATTTGCTTTTGTCGTGCTTTTCTTATTTATGATTGCTTTAATTTTAGACAACTGTAAAAAGTTTGGCCTTGTGTTTGACAACGTTGTGGGGATTGTGGAAGTGATCAACTCCAGAGATATTCAGATTCAGGTAAATATATGTTTGAAAAATGAAGACACAAAGAGAACAAGTGGGGAAAAAAAACCCAACGTGTAGCTACAAGAGTTTTTTAAAACTCAAGGAGCACAACAAAACTGAGGAGTAGATGCATCCAAATGTATCTTTATATACGTTAAATCTGATGATGTATTTAGAAAATGCCTGTGGAAACTATTGACTGTCACGGAACAAAATTCCCATAGCACAATGCCTTCTGGTTCTGGTGATGCTGAGAGATCTATACACTGTAAGAACTGTTACTTCTGGCCCTACTCTGCTTCCTTTCATGCTAAACAGCTCCTAGCACTTGAAAGTTCAATGGTGCTTATGGAACAAATTCTGGCAGTTAGCTAATTGATTTCTAAGCACAGAAGACTTTTTTCTTTTCTTATCTGCTCAATGGAAATGTTCAAATAGACTGTCAAAGGGCAACTTAACGATACAGAGTGAAAGTAGGTGCTGGGATTTCGAGAATCTCCCTGGCCAGTGATGTGACACATTATATGAGTAAGCAATGTAGTTACTTGCCTGCAAAAGTTTTCATCAGAGGCTCTCATGAAAAGAAAATACATGTATTTTAAATCCATACATTGCCCTCTCTACTGGGGGCACTTGTTCTGTTCAAAATATAGACAGTCTGCCTGGCATTTACAGCACTTCATTCATCCCCTCCCAGAAGAGGCCTTATACCTGCACTAATACTGGGTTGTGTCCAACATACATGACATAGTCTCAAGAAGGGACTTCAGGTTGTATTATTTTAAGTGAAAAAGAAATGACAAGTTAACTAATTCTATCAAACTGCTAGTCTTCAAAGCAATGTCTTTTGCTTAAAAGGCTGTGCCTGCTGTATGAAATTCAACATAGACAGTCCTGCTCTGTCTTCAGAAATGCTGGTCACAGCCCCCACATGGAATAATAGCAAGATGGGGGTTTTATATGCTGGAGCTCATGCAAGTGACTGACATTTCTACCAACTGTGCATCATCTTCTGAACTGTAACAAGCAGTTTTATTCATGATCACTACATGTCTTCTCGTGGCAGAGGCAGTTAGTTAAAGATCCCAGGCATTTGTTCAAGCAGGTTTTAAATAATTAGATCAATTTTATCATTACCTCTAGAACTATTCATGAAAACTGCAAAATTAATATGTAATGAAAAGCAAAACCACAGCTTGTAAATACTCAAATAAAGGGGAAATACCTTTTCCAAGAATCGAAATTCTTAGAATCAAAATTAATCATGTTCTATGAATATTGCATAAGGCTTCTATGTATGCCATGGAGCAGAGTGGGATTCCACTTAAGAAGGCAAAATCTGATTATATGCTGTGGGCTGCTCGAAACAGACAGCTTCCACAGGCTGTGAGTACACCAAGTGCTAAGCACCTCAGTTTTCTTTGTATTTTGAAGACCTGAGTTTAAAATTTCCAAATACATGATATGTTAATGCAACAAATTTCAGTAAATTCATCCTCCAGATTTCGCTTTAAATAGTTACTCCAGTGTCATATTGTTTAGCTCTCCTTTCTTTCGGTGGTATTTTTTCTTCTTGCCAGATGTTTGCAAAATTTATTAAACACACCTTCCTTTTGCTCTCCATTGCATAAGAACCCATTTGAGAAAAGATAGTTTCAGATGCATTGGCCCACTGCATAGGTCAGACTGCAGGATCAGGGTGGGATGCAAGAGGACAGAGCACTTGTTCTTTGTTTACTGTCACATTTGAGGAACCAAAACTGGAAAGATCTTCTTACCTTGAATGATGGGAGACACTCGTTCACAAGTACAGATCTGTCACATGCTGTTACAGTTTTATGGCTCAGAATAATCTCTGCCGATTTGATGCATTGTCCAGAGGTATTGATGTCCTTGCTAGAGAGAGCAGGAGGAGAAGGAGGAATTTTTGCTGACAACCCATGAGTCAGCTGTTTAGCCATGAAGAAATCTTTTAATCTGTAGAATTTGCCCTTCTCCCTGCAAGTAAATCTTGCGCTTGCTTTTAAAGTAACATAAGAAATATCTTTGGAGATTTAATTGAATTGATCTTAGTACTTTTTCAGAACTGTGGCTTGCTTGAAGGGAATAAAACCCCGTTCCTACTGTGTGCTGGAAAAGCTTTGAAGTCTTCGGAACATATTACAAATCCCTTGTTGAGTACTACTCTATGCTGGGGTCTTTCATTTGACCTTACTAGGTTGGAGTTGACGTATTTGATTTCTTAGCCGGTTCTCACTGATGAGCAAGGTGAACACCACCTAAATAGCCGCACAGAAGTGTCACTGAAATTAGAGAGAATCGGGGAATCGCTTTCCTCAAGGTGTATGTTAAAAGCTTGCTGTATATTGCAAGTTTGCTGTTGTCTGTAGGTCTTTGTTACCATCACCAAGAATTCTCACAGTGTCTGACAAATCAGATATGTGTCACACAGGCAACTGACACATAGGTCAGATATTGGTGGCCAAAATTAGACCTGGCAGGCATTGAGGATTTTATTAACAATATATCTGTGTGCATTTTAAGATTTGATGTTGATTTTATTTTGCAGGTGATGGGGAAAGTGCCAACCATTTCTATTAACAAAACAGAAGGCTGCCACATCTACCTCAGTGAGGAGTCATTAGATTGTGAGATTGTGAGTGCCAAGTCATCTGAGATGAACATTCTCATCCCCCAGGATGGTGATTATGTGAGTGAGATATTTTTAAAGCTTTCCTTCCCGTTTCATAGTCTTCATAGATAGGAAAGAAATTGACATAGCTCAGTTTACATGTTACATACATATTTCATCACCAAAAAAATGATCCAAAACAATTGATTTTTCTATGTGCCTATATCTCAGGAGGAGTAACTCCTTATTTCCTGGGGCACAAAGTAATTTCAAAGATCAGACATGATGTTCTTTCTTTCTATTCTGACAGATAATGGTTTCATCTCCTGTCCATTTCATACTTCTTTTTTGATATGTAAACATAATCTCCCAAAGAAATTCACTTCACAGAAGAGCACCTAAGTCTGAAGACAATGAGGCTAAAGCTAAAATAAATGTAACAGTACTACAGATGAAATAATACAGTATAATATACCTGTTTTTTTCTAAAGCTATTGATAGATGTCCTTAAATGCCACCTAAACAGGTGGATTTTCCTGGTTCCTTTCCTGTTCTAGCAAAATTTTCCTACTAGGCCCAGTGGCATTTTTAGTAAAGTCATGCTCTGTGACTCCCCACACAAGCAAGGCAAAGCGCACTTGGAATAGTTTCCCAGTTTCCTGAACAGAGCAGCATTGAAATTGCACTGCATGGCCATAGAAAGAATTTAAATTTCTCATTAGTCCTTTGGGCCATAATTTTGTTTGGTAAAGGGGGTTAGGCTTTATAAAATAGAATATGTAATGAGAATTCTTGTGCTCCACATTTCCAAAAGTGATGCCTGATGTCCAACTTCAGATAACTGAAAAGGGAATGATTTTCCAGTGGACACATATTCACCAATATCTTTTTTTTAAAAGTCCTTTTAGTCAGTCTTGCCTCAAAATCACCATAACATCTGAAATTTCTGGCTATCAAAACATCTCTTGGAGGTCTGAACAAAAAATCCCTTCTCTTCACATAACTTTTTGTACAATACTGGGTACAAAGGAATACCCAACAACATCTCCCATCATTCCACTGAATTCATAGAATAGAAGGAGACTTTATTTGATGTTCTGCTTCATTTTGTGTGCCCCACAGAGGATGCTGAATCTTCTGAAGTGTATCACACTTAAAATGATAGGGGGGTTTTATTTTATTCTTCCATACTATAATATTGCTTTTGTCCTTAAAATTAGACCCCGGCTAAACCTCCGCATCTAAATCCTTTCTACTATCTTCCAACCCAGACACTAATGGAATCTAAAGTCATTTCTGACATGAGGCTTATTTACTTAGCTGATGCGAATAATGGTGTGAGAGGGATTATTGCAAAGTAGCACCATACCAAGGCTATTTGAAACTGGGTAGCAATCAGGCTTTTTTCCTGTGTGGCATTGTAAAATAGCTTCCTAGGGTAATGAAGAAGGCTTCTCTCTAATCCTGGCATGTCTGAGCTATCAATGCTTTCTCAGTCATGTAGCACTAATAGTATTCCACTAGTTTTCATGAGGTATCCACTGTTTATTTAACCATCATTGTTGCTTTTGTTTCCTACCAGAAAGAATTTCCGGTTCCTGAACAGTTCAAGACAGCATGGGATGGATCTAAGTTGGTCACTGAACCTGCAGAGATTGTGGGTTAACTTCCTAACGCCATACAGCACTTGCTGACCGTGACCAGACCGCAGCCAGCATACACAAAGCAGAAATGTAAAGAACTAGAAGTAGCAGGAGTTCATACTGCTGTGATAGGCCTTCAAGCATTAGCTCTGCATGCTAGGAACAGTAACACATCTGACACCCTTTCGTTAGGCATCCCAGTACTTTTCATGTTTCCACACAGTTTGGCTTCACGTACAGTTTTAATTCTAAATGTGAATGCAGTAGGTTAAACCCGTCACATCACTGGTTTGGAATACTGTATACATTAAGCCAAAATGCTGCATGATACACTTTTATCATCATCTTGCTTCAGTGCATTCCTTTTTGTGTTTCTGCTAATCAAAAGCAGCATTAAGACTCTAAGATGTTTATTTTTACCTGTTAAGCAATTCCTGTATGATGCAGTAAGAATGTAAGCCTAGAAAGTATGCAGTTCCTTGCAGTTCTGTAGCAATCCTAATGGGCTTTGTTTTAAACGAGCTAAAAAAGGATAGCTTTCAGCACAGCAATACATTTTCCTAAGTGAGGATTGAAACGAATCTGGTATTTTAATCAAACACTTTTCTAATGTGTATATTTAGAAGATCCCACAGTTTTCTGTGAGGTAAGATTTTATCATGGTGCACAGACTTGCTGTTGCCCTGTCATTTCTTGCTAATTAGTAATTCTTTCTAAACTAAAGCCTCATCTAAGCTGAAACCTTGCACTAAATCACTTGAAGGTTCTTTGCTCCTTGGATTTCTTTTTTTTCCTTTGGTAACACAATCTTTTTTAAATATCACATTGTATCTTGCATCCTATACAGAAAACCGAGGGAGTCATATACAACCGATACCAGCTAGTTTTCCTTACTAATAAGATTCCTTTAAAATACTTCTATTGTAGCACATATTCATTAAAAATACCTTCCTAGGTTTTTCCTCCACATTTGTAGGACTTGCTCAGTTTCAAATACGTCCACAAAGCAAAGCCATAGATTTATGTCATACTAATTCTGAGCACAAATAAAGGGCGATTTCCTGTTTAGCCCTGTGACTCTACTTTGTAGCTCCTACTGTACATGCTTTTTTAAAGGAAGTGGAGTGTTGTATACATTTGTACTATCTCAGCACATAGGATGAGTAAAATTTTAAACATTTCAGAAGTCAGCTTATGTTTTCAATCACATGTAATACTTTGTATCAGTGAAATCACAATGAGATGCTTGCAGAGCTAGTTACGAGATAAATTTTGTGCCTAATTTCCCTTGAAAGTACATTAACTCTTGAGGGTTTTTAAGTATATCTTTGATTGTAAACCCTATACAATACAACCAGTAGTGCTCATTCCGTACGGTTTTGCTATCTGATGTTTAATCTATGTGTATAATGTGTTTGCTTTAATATATATCATTTTTTCAACAGTAAACTTCTTATGAAATAAAAAGGAGAATGTACTTGTTTAAAAACAAAGTTGTTCAGAGCTTGCTCCATTGCAGCGTTTGTCCTACAAACTGTATCTTCCTGAAACACCATTTCAAAAGCTTCAGTGAGGAAAAGTAGCTCCTCCTCCCATATCATTTAAACCTTGTCCCTTTTGCTGCAATAATCACCTTTATACCTGCACATAAACCTGAAGTGTCATGCACATGACTTCAATGACAGCCAGCAAATGGAGCTTTTCCTGATTCTCACTTCTAGGTACACCTGTATCTTCCAGAGATTATGTCTAGGGAGACAACCATGACCTGGTGCAAGTTGATAAGGTTTGCTGTCTATTTCTAGCTGTTCCCATTGTCTCTCTGTGTGGATTTGGATGTGTCCCTCCTGTGTTGCCTAACCACAAGCAGTCCACTCTGTATTTCTCTTGGATGTGCCTCATCTCTGAAAAATGGGCATTGCACACTTGTCACGACAAAAGGATCGTCGAAGGATTGTTTAATCCCTAAATCATAATCATTATTTGTTGACAAAATAATCTCATTCTGGCCTGAAATACTGACTCTTTCTTTCATACAGCATCGAGTAGGGAACAAGCTGTTATGCAGCAACAGGATAACACTTAATGCTTTGGAGGTAAGATACAAAACAAGTATCAAACACTTGATGATAAACAGAAAGCCGCGAGACAGCCCTGAATCCCCCGTACAGGCAAATTCTTATACTTCCTCCGAGGGATTTAACTCACCCATCAAAAACACTGTGGGAAGGCTGAGCTGACTCTTCTTTTAAATGTTTGAAAGCAAACTCCCTTATGGCTAGACCTTCTCCCTAACACTCATGTTCCTGCAACATGCAAGACCCAAGTACATTGCTTTGACTGGTTTCTTAACAGGAAGAGATCCTCTGCAGTAGCAGTGACAGTCTGAGCACACCTGTGTCAGAGGGCAGAGCTTTCAATGGAAACTAAGAAGGCCTTGCATGGAAGGACCCAAGGGAATTGCAGCAACTGGTGGAAAGGCTAACAAGTCAATGCATTATTGGACACCAGAAAAGTAGGAAAGAAACTTTTAAAATATGCAGGTAGCTTTTATCCAGCACTCTCAGTCAGTCACATAACAAAAAAATCCAAACCCTATAACCACCTTTTGTCAGTTCTGGTCATCGTAACAAATACATATAATACATTTCCAGTAGGTTGGACTGTTCTTTCCCTGCAATGCCTCTAACTTCAAAAACACAAAGGAGTGCTATATAAAATAAATCCAAGGTTCTGATTCTATGGTATATAAATTCATGTACGATTAAAGGCTGAAAACTCATTATGTGAAAGCTCAAGTTTGTCTTGAGACAGAAATAGCCAGCAAGCTGCAGAGTGATTTGATGAATCATCCCAACCATGATAGGTCGTGTCCACCAAGTCTTCAGCAGCAAGCTTGATCTGTGTTTAATGGTTGACTCCAGCAAGGAATGCACTCCTAAATGCTGATCATCCCTAGGGTCCTTTTTGCTGCATGCTATCACACAAGAGATGCCCCTTGATTTATGCTCTACACTGCACTAATATTGTGGCCATGCCCTAAATCGGTGCAACTGTCAAAACACAGAACAGTGAATTTGGTTCATACACTGATATGGAACAAAGATGTATGGTGTAATTGGCCAGTTCATTTCTATAAACCTGCGTGGGTCCAATATTCACCAGTACAGATGCTGTCAATCAGCCCCTAAAATACATCTAAAAGTGAGATTTTATACAAAATGTCTAAATGTAGCAAGCTCTTTTCCATGAGAAGCTTCAGCAGATCTCATACTTTCTTAAATAGAACCTCTGTAAAAGTACTCATGAAGTTCAGCAAGGGGAACTGCAAGTCTTGCACCTGAATAACAGCCACCCCATGCACCAGTAAGTGTTGGGGGCTGCCCAGCTTGGCAGAAAATGCCCAGGGAGTCCTGATGGACACCAAGTTGAACATGAGCCATTGATGTGCACTCTGTGGCAAGGAAGGCAGGCTGATAGTAACCTGGGCTGCATGAGGAGGAGCATTGCCAGCAGACCAAGGGAGGTGATCCTGCCCTTCTGCTTAGCACTGATGGGGCTGTGTCCAGTTCTGGGCTCCTTAGTACAAGAGAGTCCAGCAAAAGGCCACAAAGATGATGAAGCAACTGGAGCATCTCTCCCAGGAGGAAAAGCCGTGAGACCTGAAGTACAGCTTGGAGAAGAGAAGGCATAGGGCAGATCTGTTACTGTGTACAAATACCTGAAGAGAGGGTGCAAAAGGAGGGAGCCAGGCTCTTTTCAGTAGTGCCCAGTGACAGGACCAGAGGTGATGGGCACAAGCTGAAGCACAGGATGTTCCCTCTGAGCATCAGGAAGCACTGTTCTCCTGTGTGATGGAACACTGGCACAAGTTGCTCAGAGAGGAGATAGAGTATCCATCCTTGGAGACATTCAAAAGCCACATGAACAAGGTCCTGGGTAACCAGCTTCTAACTGTCCCTGCCAGCCTCAGCCCTAATGTGATTTTGTGATACTTACTTACTTAGAATCTGGTTACTAAGAATTAGGGGAAACTAGAGGTATGGCAGTAGTGACTCCAAGTACCCACCAGATGGCAGGAATCAGCCGAGGCCAAGCCCTGGCAAACTTTTAATGCAGAACTGCTGAACTGCAGCATTTACAAAGGACGTGAATGCTCTTTGCTAAAGAACTGGAAAGTTCTGCTCTCTAAAAGCTACTGAAAGAAAATTCAAGTATTACTTTGATCTTGAAAGTATTATCTTTGTAAAAGGAGGTTTGGCTGGGGTGAACAAGGAAGAAATAAAAAAACAACTCGTTACCATTTATTAATTTGATCTTTTGGGTTTGGGTTGGTTTTTTTTGAACACTGCTAAGCACATCTCCATTGAAAGCACATTTTAAAAAATACCTGATTGAACTTAAAAGTAATATAAGTAAGTAATATCTTCTCCTGAAGATAAATGAGTAATTAATTTCAAGTCTGTGTTTGAAACCAGAAATCTTTTCAATGTCCTAGGAAATTAGGCACTTGCTAAGGCTTTCCAGTGCCATAGTTATTATCCAGGCAAACCATTCTTGTTCTTGCTCTTTCCTAAGTCCTCGGTGTATCTGGATCTGCATGAGTTCCTTCAATGTCACTGTACTATGTGTTCATAAACCTGTGTATCACATATCTTTCCTAGAGATCAAGCATTTGTCCATTTGGCATCCTCCAGGGGCTCAGTTCAGTGCATACATACCCTCCTGACATGCTGTTCAACTGGGTTCCTTCTGAAATGTGGAAGCCTCCAGACAGAGGTAATGTTCACTCAATTACACGATGTGTAAGCACAGCAGCTATCAGGAACGTACAAAACAGGCTCAGTTCCCCTGCTGGAGGTGATCTGGACCCACTTGCTGTGAAAATATTGCCCTCAGGAGATGCCTATAAAGAGGCCCCTGACATAGGATAAAAGGCCCCTGTCATTAGATAAAAAATCATAAGTAACACTCCTCAAGGAATGTTCTTACTACCAGAAAACAAGAACCTGCTCCCTCTTTGTGATTGAAATAATCCTGAAAAAGTCTTTGTGACAAAATTTTTGTAGAGGAACAGAGAACACTCCCTACTCCACCACCAAAAAAAACTCAGTGGTGATTTCCTAGTCCTAATCCTGCTTCCCTAAATCTTGCCACATGCTGAGGACCCTACCTGACCACCGTTGGCCACCAAAGGCTCTTACTCTCCAAACCCCAGGTTCCAGTGCTTGCCCTTAACAGAGGCACAGTCATATTTCCTCTCTGGAAACAGTAAAGAATGTGATAGGGAATTAGGTAACTGATAAGGCTTCCTAGTGCCACAGTCCTGAGTGAAGCTGTTTTGCAGTGACTCTTAATTCAAACTGAGACAAAGTAAAAGCCAGATAAAGGCATTTACACACAACGCCCTAAACAGAGTACTAGTAAACAGGCAACCAAACTAAAAATTGGTGTACCCTAAGATAAAAGTGGAAAAGTTTCTTTTTATCCTCCAGCTGATTTGCTATGACCTTTTTATCAATT